TATGTAATATAGAGATAGCTCAGGAATATCTGCAGGAATATCAGCTCGGCAATATTTTGCTGTGTGAATACCTGAATTCTGCTTTCAAAGTGTTTAAAAAGCCTAGAGGGCAGAACCATATCAGTTTAAAAGATGACTGGGAACTACAGGACTGACATTTAGGTCAGTCACACTGAAAAAAACAACTCGAGGTTTGAGAACAGCTATAAATAACATCTCGGAGAAGCAACTGAAAAGTCCAAGGGTTGTTGAGACACACCTTTCATAATAATGGTGTGCAAAGTTGCGGAATGCCTGCACACATTCTTAAAAGCTCCACCCACTGCCAGAGAAGCTAGAGGAACCACGGAAGAGGAAGCTCATTTCCTTTCTTCCTTCTGACAGACAACGACAAAAACAGCAGCGCTTTACCTTCGACAGCAGAAAGTGGAGAAAGGAAAGAAATCCTATTTTTTTTTTTACTTCTGCCTGCAGCACACCTGAAGCAAAAAACCCGTAAGGGTCGGATCCTCATTCAGAGTCAGAATGTCTGCCGTAACAGAGGATCTGTGCTGTCCTATCTGCCAGGACATCTTTAAAGATCCTGTCGTCATTTCATGCAGCCACAGCTTCTGTAAAACCTGCCTGCAGAAATGGTGGAAAGAGAAGAAAACACTCGAGTGTCCCATCTGCAAGAGGAAGTCCTCCCGGAGTGACCCTCCTCGGAACCTGGTTTTAAAGAACCTCTGTGAGGCCTATGAACGGCCGAACAACCACAGAGCTCATAACAACGGCTCGGAGCAACTCTGCAGTCTGCACTCTGAAAAGCTCAAGATCTTCTGCCTGGACCACCAGCAGCCTGTGTGCGTCATCTGCCGGGATTCAAAAATCCACAACCAGCACCACTTCAGACCCCTAAACGAGGCGGCCCAGGAGAAGCGAGAGGAGCTGCAGAAGTTCCTGAAGCCTTTACAAGAGAAACTGACTCGGATGGAAGAAGCTAAAGGAGACGGAGAAAAAACTGTGAAGTTCATCAAACTGCAGAGCCAGCAGACGGAGAAGCAGATCAAGGAGCAGTTCCATAAGCTTTACCAATTCCTGCAGCAGGAGGAGAAGGCCAAGGTCGCCGCTCTGAAAGAGGAGGAGACCACGAAGATGTTGCTGATGAAGAAGAATCTGGAGGCACTGAGTAAAGATATTGCAGCTCTTTCAGCCATGATCACAGCTGCTAAGAAGGAGCTAACAGCTGCAGACATCTCCTTCCTGAAGAACTACAAGACCACAATGAATAAAGTCCACCAGCATCCCCTTCATGATGACCCTCAGCAGGCCCCTGGAGCTCTGATAGACGTGGCCAAATACCTGGGCAACCTGACCTTCCAAGTATGGAACAACATGAAGCAGGTCGTCTCGTACAGTCCTGTGATCCTGGACCCAAACACTGCAGACCCGGAACTCGTCCTGTCCCATGACCTGTGCAGTGTCCGATCCGGAGAAAAGAAACCGATCCCTTTGAATCCAGAGAGGACAAAGTTCTCCTGCTCCGTCCTGGGCTCTGAGGGTTTCAACTCGGGATGCCACAGCTGGAGCGTGAAGGTGGGCGACAATAAGGACTGGGAACTGGGCGTACTGGGAGAGACCCAGACGACAAACGAATGCCCTACGGCTCAGCTGTGGAGGATTTCATTTACCGACGGGAAGTTTACGGCCTTCTCCTCCTCTAAACCAGAGGAGGATCTGCTGGTGAAGGATGTGGTGAGGAAGATCAGGGTTTACCTGGACTTTGACAGGGGGAAGCTGACCTTCTCTGACTTTGACACCACCACCAACATCCACACCTTCACAGACACCTTCAGCAACACCCTGTTTCCCTACATTTACACCGAGAGTCAATCTCCGCTCAGGATTATCCCTGCCAACATCTCTGTGAGCGTCCCAAAATCCACCTAAAAAAGTCAGGATCTGACAGACTTTTGGAGAATTTATTAGATCAGGAATGAATTCAGGGTTCAAAATCAGCTTCCAGGTCGTACACTTAAACTACCTGATTGCTCTGAGTCCATTTCTGTTCATGTTTGAACATTTAGCTTAAATATCCAAAAGCCACAGAAACCCAGATGTCATGCTGGTCTGGAGATAAAAATCTGCCTACTCTTTGTCAGAAACTGGTAACTATGACAACGAGAGACAGAAGAAAATGTTTACCTGTCTGGATGACTTTAAACTGCATTTATTTGAATTTATTCATCTAATATGGAAGAGGTAGAGGGATTTGATTACTTCTGGTTTTCAGATTTCTTTAGCCTGTTTCAGTGTTTGATCCGTTTCCAGTCCTGATGCTGGAGGAAAGTTCTTTTAATCAGAAGCTCTGATCCGATTCTTCCTGCAGAACAAGGCCGGCTCCCATTTACATGCTCTATTAGTCTCTATTAGAAATCTGAGGCCTTCATGAGAGCAAAAATGTGGTTAATTTGTGTTCTTTAATCATAGATGTTTTCAGCTGCAGAGGTTTAATATTTTCATTATTAGAACCTAAAGGTTTATGGTAAAATAAAAGAAATTGTAAGACATACTTTTATCGTATTTAACTGAGTGTTTAAAATCCCATAACATAATGGGTTCAATGAAAAGATTCTTTTTTTATTTCTACTTTACTTTTTTAAAAAGATGAAAAGTCTGGTGACATCATCTGGTGAACTATTTTATGTGGGTTTATAGGTAGATAAAATGCTAAACTTTGAAGTTGTTTTTTTTTGTGTTGAAATCAAATACAAACTGCAAAAGAAAAAGAAAACTGATCTGGAAACAGTAAGTGAAACCAAACTGGACCAGTAAGAACCAGTAACTGGCTCTCCAGGTTTCCTCAAGTTTATTACCTCTCTATTTCAGGACATTTAAACATTTATTTAAGGTCCTTTTTATTTAAAACCTGGGCTGAGATGGATTATTGAAATGTTCATCAACTAATTTAATAATCGATTAATTGTTAACTGGAGCCTAAGGACTCTAAAACATGCCTTTAGCTGACAGTGCGACCCACTTAGAGCAGTAATTAAGCCATAAATTACACAAAAATATATAAACATTTTGCATTTAAGATTAAAAAAACGTTTTTTAATGTCAATATGCTCTATACAGAACTCTTCAAGTGAAAAAGTTTTATTTTGATGTGGTTTAAAAAATATATATATATATCTTCTTATAAATCTTGCTATCCGATAATTAACAAAACACTGTTAGTTGCAACCCTATTTGAAACACACACATTTTATAAAAGAATAACTGGAAGAAATTGAAATCTAGTTAAGAAATTTTTTCTTAAAATAAGTGCATTTGTTCTTAGATTGAGGAGATAAAAGAGACATTTTGCCAATGTAACAAGATCATTTACACTTAAAATAAGAAAACACAATTGCATTGTCTTATTTCAAGTGCATTTTATCTAATTATCTTATTTTAAGAGTACAAATACTCATTCCATTGGCAAACTATCTCATAACCTACTCAGATTAAGGATAAACACACTTCGTTTAAGACATTTTTACTTATTTCTAGATCATTTTTCCAGTGTAGCATCTTCACTAAATAGTTTGGTTAAAAAAAAGGACGTCATTAATAAAATGTTTTAACAACAATTTAATTTAAAACAACTCAACAATAGAAAAGCAGCTTTAGGACTCTTCTAGCTGTTTGAAGGGGAGGATGAGTATCTGGGCCTTCCTCAGAGAGAACTACATAAACCCATCGACAAAAAACAACAATCTTAAAGCAATGACTGAGCTTTAAAAACATAACTGAATATAACTTAGAAACAGGTGACCTACATGTGTCAGCAATCAGGATAAAAAGTTGCATGAAATCCTTGTTTTTTTAATGATTTCTGAATAGCAAAAACAAGATATAAGCCTTTTTAAAGTCGACTAACAGGCAGTATGCAGCAACGGGTGGGGGAGGGCCAGATCTCCATTCAGCCACAGAAAACACTACTCCCTCTGGTCTCTGCCTGTTTCAGAGACTGAACTTTTTTACCAGTTTGGGTTTTATAATGATTTAAATAAACAGTATAATCAAAGGATGATTATTAAACAAAAATACAATGACTGTTGCTCTGATCAATAAAATAGGATTTTTTTGTTTTTGTTTATTTGTTTCAATGTTTATTGTTGGGGGGGGGGAAGAAAAACAAAAAAAGTAAAATTTTCTTCATGCTGATCTTAATTGATCTTTCTTTCCCAACTTAATGTGAAATTAGAAGACTGGGAACTAAAAATGACTGTGAATCTTTTGTTTTTTATTATGCAAAACATTTTTTTTTACATTTTTATAGAGATCACAAAATATGAATAATGAAAAATCTAGAAGTTGTTTTAAACAATTTAATTCTGTTTCTAACTTTTAGGAGAAACATTTTTATTTGTGTTGAAATCAATGTAAAATGTTAAATTTTTAAGTGATGATATGATGTTGGACATTCGTTCATTTTTGTCTTGAAAACATGAGCAGACATGCCGAGAAAAGCTTCTCTTTGAAATTATAATATATATATATATATATATATATATATATATATATATATANTATATATATATATATATATATATATATATATATATATATATATATATATTATATAATCTGCTTCTATGAAAACTTTGTACTTAATGTTATCTTTCTCATTTTGTTGGTTAATTCTAATGTAGGGATGAATAAATATTCAATTAAAGGAGCTCTGATCGTCTTTCTGTCTTTTTATTGTTTTATTCAAGTCGTCTTTATTTATTTTATTCTTTTTTTCATCTGGCTTTAAATGAACCTTGAATTAAACTAAATATCTGAGCTGGAACCTTCTGACCAATCAGCTTCTGAGCTATAAAAGTAAAAAACAAAGGAAGAAAGTTTCTGCACCATAAACAAATATTAACCGTTAGAAGAACCTGATTTGCTGTGAAAGGACAGATTTATGACCTTATTGACTTTGACCCGGAGCTTCTCTCCTCCGTAAAGGTTAAAGTCTTTTCCCTCCAGATCTTTGTAGAGGTGCTGACCCAGGATCAGGTGGTTTTTACACACTGCCTCCTCATCGACACCCTGCGGACAGAGCAGGTCAGATTAGGCTCAAAGATTAATCCTCATCAGTTTTATACGTTATATAATAAAAATACATCCTTAAATGTCTGATTTAAATCCCAGTTTGTACTGTTCGATCAAACAGATTTATCTTCTCTGATTCAAATTGTGTGTTTGAATGAGGCCTTGAAATAAGGCTTCCTGTCTGTCAGGCTTTAGGTTTCTGAGGGACCCAGGCGTGAACAGGAGGGCTGGATTACCGTGAATTATTATAAAAGAACAAAGAAGTTACAGGAGCACATTAACTGGCAGCTAAACTGGAGGATTTGATCCAAAAAGGGACTTAAAAACTGAGGAGCGTATGGAGAATACATGCTGCCATTTTTATCATGCAGAGCAGCTGGCAGGACGCAAGTGAGGAGACTGTTGTAGGAAACTAGATGGGAACAAATGTAGGAGCCCTTCCTGGATTGTCTGAACTATGCAGATAAAGGTGTCGGTTTATTCAATGATTAACAGGCTGCAGATGTAACGTCAGAGATAAATAACCATGATGCTGCAGTTGAATGTAGGGAATGTGATTGTGCCTTATTGTAACAACCTCAACCAGTTTCACGTGGTTTCACTCTACCCATTTATCAAAAAAGTAATAAAATCCATAAAACACATATATAGAGAGAGTGTTTTATGTGAAATATTAGAGAGAGAAGGTTTGACTTACACTCAGAGGCTGTTTCAACAGCGGGAAGAAAGCTGTGAAGGGTCCAGAGTGACTAAGAACCATCAAACAGCCTTTCTCTGTAACAAACACAAAAAAATTTATTTACAGCAGAATAAATGGAAGAAAAAAAACCACTGAGGATGTGTCATTTTTACCCAGAAATACAATGTGAACTCAAAAATTCAATTAAGTAAAATTTTTACAGTATCAGATGAAACAGACAAGTATTAAATCAAATTTCACCAAAACCTCCCAAACAACCAATCAAAAATTTTTTTTCTTTGTGTTTGTTCGGTTTTACCAAACAAGGCGACGGCTCCGGTCAGATTTTCTCTCTGGTTTCCTCTTGAGTCAAGCTCGATGAGGCGCTCCATCAGGTTACCGTAGCAACGCTGCCCATCTCCAATCTGCTCCGGCTCGCAAACGCACCTGAAGCACCAGGAACAAGAGCAGAGGGATGTACTTTAAAGGAAGTGAAAGTTTTACGCGGGTTCTAAGATGGTCAGCTATTTCTAATGTTTCTATAAAGCATGATGAAGATTAGATAAAAGCTGTTTCCAGATGCTGGAGAAACAAGTTACTGAGAGTCAAAGGTCAGGGAAAGTATGCGGACAATCTGGAGCAGGTATCATTGGCACTTCGCCCCTGATCACAAACATACAACACAGGATGAGTCTTTAATTGAATCAACGTTTCAGGTTTTGAAATAAATAAAAAACAATCAGGAACCAAACTTCCAGGCTGGTGGCGTAGAATCTGGTTGGACAGAGTCTCAGTTCTCTAAACATTCAGTGTATTTGCTGG